CCAGAAAGTTTATAGGTACTGCAATACATGAACACAGCATCAAACTTCAAACAAAGCTGCCAATGTGTTGACACCTCAGGATTAAGATGGAATAACTTCAGATTGTTCTACAAAGGTTTTAACCAAAACAGTGATATTTGCCAAAAAATTATGTATAATATATTTGAATAGCGGATTTGCACCTACGAAAGATTAGGCTAAATTATACAATTACTCTTTCAAGTTCGCCGAAATATGTGTCGAATGTTTTGTCTACGGTCGTTTCGGTGTTTTGGGCCAACCTTACCGCGCGTCCACGAATATAATGTTGCATGCTAACATGCAGATTAAATAAAATATTGTGTTGATTGACTTCAAATTAAAATATTAATTTGTATTTTTACAACTTATTGCCACGAAAAAATTATAATTTTTTTAAATAAGATCCATGAATATCAAAACATTGTGGGGTGTTTTTTTCAGCAGAAACAATTTCTGTAATTGTAATTTGTATCGCGGGTAAATAGTGGTAAAAGTATTCCGGTTTGGATCGTAAGAAAGTCAGTATTACCAGGCTGTAATTTTGCTGCATTTGTTCTTTGTCGTCGGGGATGACAACTTATGTGTAGCCTTTTTTTTAGGGTTCCGTACCTAAAGGGTAACCAACGGGACCCTATTACTAAGCCTCCGCTGTTCGCCCGTGTCGCCCAGCGGACTGTATCTCATAATGCGTAATAGGTAGACTGTTGGAATTTTTACAGAATTAGTATTTCTTTTGCCGCTATAACAAAAAAATCAAAAGGGGCTCCCCTACTAGAAACGTGGTTTACGATGGTACGGAACCCTTCATGCGCGAGTCCGACTCGCACATGAAGGTTATTTGAGATTACTTGCTGATATCCAGGAGCATATTATATTGTTTTCTCGTTTGTAACCCTAATAACAATATTATAAAATGGTAAATTGTGTTGAAATAATTACCGTAGCAGTAGTTGTATATAAGACATTCAAAAACTTGCTTGACATTTCCTCCTTCCGTGCAAAAAACCGATCCTAACTTTTGTTATAACTGGATCGTCAGTAATATTGTCATTACCGGACATTCATTACTAAGCCATTACAGCTTCAGCGCATCACACAATACGAAAGTTTCAAAACGAGTCAGGGCCCACGCGCATCGTGTTACATTGTGTTAATTATGATGATGTTTCAAGAAATATTTTGGTTCGATTATCATTTCATAGATTGTAGACTCAGCGCCTCATTGGATGATTTTACCAAAGTTACCACGCTTGGCAGGCGCATTGACATCCGCAATGTTTATAATTTTGTGTTGTTATCAGGAAGATGATGCTGTTCATCTTCTGTTTCACTTTCCCTCTGTCGCCTTTTTCGACACCCACGGGATGGGTAGTCGATATTTTTACACCGCCAGCCACTACACGATTAATTGTCAACGTGTAAAGTGATCGCTAAAATAATTTAAATTTAGAATATTCGTCTTCGTTTTTTTTTTTTTTGATAGAATTACAGACTACTGAATTTTAACGAATGGAACTAAATACCATTCAGTGTGTAAAGGCCCTTAACTCCGGAGGCGTTTAATGAACACAACCAAAGGTAATTCTAAACTATAGCTTCGTTTAATCTCTGTCTACTGCAGGCCTGCCTCTTATTCAGGTATACATTTAACGGTATTATACAAAATCGTGGAGTTATTTGCCTGTTTGTTGTTTTTGTTTGGGTTTTTCATTATTTCATTGTTTTCGACTTAGTAGTTCTGTTATTAAATCAACTTAAAACGTATCTTATCTCGTTTAGAGCCGAGGCGGCATCAGAGCCAGCTGAACTGAGTAAGTGGCGCAGATATGAGTATGTGAGAGATGACTACATATTTGTGCCATTTGCTGTAGAGACTATCGGTCCGAGGGTTCCTTCCTAAAGGAACTCCATCCGCGGCTGGTCGTTGCTGCTGATGATAAGAGGGCTGGTTCTTTTCTCGCTCAAAGGCTAAGCCATTCAGTGGGGAAACGCAGCCAGCGTTCTTGGCATTCTATTATTTTGATATTTTTATGTATATGAGTTAAATAATTAAATGATAAAAAAAAAACTTAAATCACAATTCCAGTCCTAGTCTGTCTAACTTTTGCAAGAATATTCTTAGGATACGACCTACGATCTAAATATGTAGATATGAATTAAATTATCCTCATGCACCTTTATGAATTTTATGTATTCATATCTTAACGTCACCAATAAATATAATTAGCTTGGTTATTGGTGAATAGTTTCGTTCACCAATAACCAAGAAAAAAAAATAGTAATAGAATATTTTTTTTTACAAAATAATTATATATTCTGACATGGATTGCAGCTCATTTCCTTCGCCTCGCCTCGCTCCTAATTCCCACATCCACTGTATTGAATATAATTGCATTACGACGACGCCATTGAATAATAAATTACGGTAATTACACGTCAAACATTTCACAAGTTCATAAATCTCATTATACGAATCCTAGTATATTTTTTTAATATCTTCAAAAATCTAAATTTCATTAAACGTGAAGAAACAGTTTCATGTAGCAATTCAACAACAGTTCAATTCAATTATACAGCAAAATTAATATTTTGTTTACATTTTTATGTTTTAGAATAAAATAACGTCTTATTTAACTTTTAATATTTTATGGAATATTACACTTTTTTTTTAAATTATTCATGAAATAATTAAAATGTGTAATATTCCATAAACATAAGCAGAGACAAAAGCATAAGAAGTCGTTATTACTTTTAATTAACTCGTATCTTAAAGATCTGAAAAACAAAACACGATATTTATTTCTATATCAGATAATTCATCGTAAACAGAATCATTGGCGCGTAATATCTTCTACAAAATAATCGTAGTCTGCACAGTTGCCATATTATGAACTAATTAACAATTTTTTTTTTATTATAATCTAAAAATGAACACTCTTATTATTAATTTAGGAGTTAAATAAAAAAGTATTTAGTGGCTTTGATCATTACCATCGTCATGTTACGAGTACAGTGGTCAACATAGAACGTAGTTCTGCCCGTAAAGCTAAGGAATTTATTAAAAATACACTACTGCCAATGTCGGCTAGTTTATTTCCCTCTGTCACTACTTACGACACCCACGCGACAACAAGGGTAGTGGATATCTATATACTGCTACAACACGATTTATGCAATGCATTTTATATTTAAAAATAAATTGTTTTAAAGGACTTTATTTTATAAATCTCATTAATTATTTGTTTTATTCCAATTATAAAATAAATACGCTGGTATAACAAGTGGATAAAGTTAAAGTTACAGCCTATATACGTCCCACTGCTGGGCACAGGCGTCCTCTCATTTTCTAAGGGGGCTTTGAAGTGGTTAAAAAATGCTTAAATCTGAAATTAATAATAAATGTGTCAAGACCACGATACTCGGACACAATACTTATAATTAGTTAGCCACATTTTAGAATTTTTAGCATATTACAGCATATTACATTTTTTAGCATATTACAGCCATAATCTAGCATATTACAGCCTATATACGTCCCACTGTAGTGCACAGGCGCCCTCTCATTTTCTTACGTCATATTCTTCTTCTTACTTAATGCTTAAATCTGAAATCAATAATGAATGTGTCAAGACCACGATACTTACTCTCGGACTCGGACACAATACTTATAATTCGTTAGCCATATTTAGCACGCTTTACGCCTCTAGGCCGCTCATAACACTAACATAATATAAACACTCCACGCTCTAGTAACCGGAGGAGTATACTTTCACACTAAGCTTAAGGTTGTTGGTGAAAAATTGCAAAATTAACAAGATCTACAAGATAAATGAGTATAGAAATAAAATACTACAATACATAATTTCCTTCCTTCCCAATTATATTTTATCAAATTCAGTACACCTTTTAAATCCAAATTAAATAAGCGTATGTAATAGGAAAGCAAGGTCTTTCAGAGATAACCTTGTACCGGCAACCGTAGTAAGCGACGTAGAAAATTAATGTATAAAATCGCCTAAAACGCTAAAGCAAAGTTTATAGACTATGACAATGCTCAGGACCGTGCTCTGTTGTAGTCGGTAGGGAAGGAGTACGTTCGGCTGTGGATTTGTGATGGTGTATAATGATGATGATGATGCCTCTGAGCAAATTCGAGAGTATCACCTCAACCCGCTTGCTCAGCGTGGTAGGCAGCGGCTACTCTCCCAGCGCTAGCTCGCGTATTCTTATGAAGGCCTATATACTACGTAAGAAGGTTATTGTTGATGATGGGAGTAACTAATCGAACAGTTCACCTGATGGCGTAAGTTCTTCCTTCAGCCAAATGGCACCGTAAAGTATCGACACCTGCACCAAACGCTAAAATAAAGAAGGTTACAATATAGGTAGGTACAATATAAGGTGTTGTCACCTCTGAGTGTAGAGATTAGAATAAATAGATAGATAGATAATAGACCTATATACTGAAACGGTTTTGAGGACAGCAAAAATCCCCTGTAATTTTTTTATGTGTTAACAGACTTCCACGTGTTTTAGAAATATAATAATCTATAATTAGTCCTACTTCTGATGTTAGAAACAGCTCTTGAAATTACGACTCCAATTTTGAAATGGAATTCTTCTGAGCCTCCAATACATTTAAATAAACTAAAGTAAAATAACACTTTGTTTATCAGTAGTACTTTTTCACATTTGTTATATAAAATAAATATACAAAATTAAATATAAATAGAATAAAACTAATTTTACGGATTTAATCGCGTTTAATTTAACTGGTTTTTACTTATGTTCAAGTCCCGACGTTTCGGGTGTTTTACAGCATCCATGGTCACAGTGGCGACTGAGTTGCTTGACGTCACAATGTCGTAAAGCACCCGAAAAGTCGAGAATTAAAAATACATAAAATCCATTAAAAATAAACGTTTAGTAATCGTATAAATATAAGATATCATTATATAAAACGTCGCCTGTTGTTGCAGCCTGTTCGAACAGGAGATCATGAGTTACGTGCCTGCGGGCGGCTGCGGAAGCTATACCGCATCGCCGGCCGCGTCCCCGGCGGCCGCGCGCTCCACCCGCGCTCCGGCGCCGCAACGCAGAGACTTCGAGGCCAAGCTGAGGGCCTTCTACCGCAAGCTAGAGAGCAAGGGCTACGGACAGGGGCCCGGGAAACTTAAGTAAGTACAATAATAGATTTATCTCCAATCCTTTGCCGGACACGAGATGTTTTTAGGAAGGATTTACCATATTTATTACATTTGGCAGCCATCTTGAAAGCTGATCTGCAATGCCTCGCAATTTAATTACAGGCTGTGAGGCTGAAACTCTTCAGACTAAACACAACAGTGCAAGCACTGCCATTTGGCGACTGAATAGGTTAGAGTATTTTACTTACCCATTCGAACTTCTAGGCAAAAGATCTCTACGTAGTGTCAAGTATCACCTGTAGAAACTATAATCACAGTTCCTCAAGTTTCCGTTTGCAAAACTAATTTATGTGTTCAAGGATATCCAGCATTGATATTGATTTTTTAAGTAACAGAGCCTAACTACTGCTGTATTATGACTGGAGCACGAGTGGGTCTGCTCGACGAGGGAAGGAAAAGCTTGCACTCTATACCAGCGTAAATTTGCAGCATTTTATGCTATTTTACGCTGCTATAAAATGCTGTGCTGCTATATGGAATGGAGACCTGGTAACGAGATATTCCATTTTAGTATTCAGGGGCAACTACGTTTTTGCATTTTAGTTCTCAATCGAGGGTAGATGTATGTGCGTATGGCCCAAAGCAACAACTTTTTAAAGATGAGAGTAAAACGAGCATTAGGTTTACCCGATGATAACTGACCACCGCCACCTGTAAACAGCTGCAACTTCAAAAGAATCAAATGAGCGTTACCAGCTTTAAGAAAGGAATAGACACTTTACGTGGGAGAGCCATGCTGCAGCTATATTAGTAGTATATTTGTAGCATGAATGGGTCGGCTCAACCAAGGAAGGACCATGCTCTCACAAAATATCAGCCTAAAATAGCAGCTTAACGCTGCTGTGTTTCTTATGTTGAGTGGAGGACTGGAGACCCTTTTTATTGGAAATGAGGCATTCCATCTTAGTCCTCGCGGGTGACAACGCAACTGCATTTTGATTTGTAATCGAGGATAGATGTAGATGTCTATGGGCCGCAGCAACCACTTACCATCAGGTGAACTGTGTGATCGTTTGTCACCCTTATCCTATAAAAAAAAATACTCATTTTTGAAGGTAATATCAGTCCGTAAAAATGCTGGTGACAGTACACAGTAGATTCTGCAAAGAAGTCATTGCCAGGAAGAAAACTTCGAGTGGGCCGCCAATTATCCCAATGGTACAAATTGTGGATTGTGCTCGTTTGTCATTTTGTATAAAGCAAAATATAGAATATAGGTTACTCTTACCGAAACATTTACAAATTGTAACTTATGCGAAATTCCAGATTGCACATCCGTCGCGAACACCTACTCGAAGACGCTTTCCGACGTATCATGTCTTGCGGCAAGAAGGAGCTCCAGAAGGGAAAGCTCTGCGTGCTTTGGGATGGCGAAGAGGGCTTGGACTATGGAGGTCCCAGCCGGGAGTTCTTCTTCCTCCTCTCACGAGAACTGTTCAACCCTTATTATGGACTGTTCGAGTACTCCGCGAATGATACCTACACGGTGCATGTTTCTCCGATGTCGGCTTTCGTCGACAACCATCAGGAGTGGTGAGTGCAGTATGAAATATCATAACAGCTAGTTTTTTAACCGACTTCAATAAGGAGGACGTTCTCAATTCGAGTGTATGTTTTTTTTTTTACATGTATGATACGCGATATCTTTGCAGATTGTGAACCAATTTTGATGATTCTTTTTTTTTACATTAAATAGGTTATACTTTCCAGGGTGGTACCATATAAGTTTGGAGAAAAAATTCCACCCCTTAGGGTATAGTGTATTTCAAGTCGGTATTTACTTTTGGTTAAAAGTTATAATTATTTGTGGTAACTAATTATAAGGGTATAGACCGGCGACGGGATGCTGCGTCTGCCAACGCCTGCCAAGATGTGTCAATTGAGGCAAATCATCACTAACGGGAGTAGTCCATGACCAGCTGTGATCTTTTACGTGCTGATGAAAAAGAAAAAGAAGATGATGTCTATCATCCGTCAATAATTAATAAAGTACTTCTTTAGCTTTGCTTAGCTGCCTGCATAATATGTCACATATCTAGCAACAGATCTATGGGCCACAGCAGGTTAATATTAAGTGGCCATCGAGGACTGTGTGCTCTTTTGTCACCTTTATTTTTTATTAACAAAAAAGATTTTTCGTTCTTAAGAGGATTTTAGCGGGTAAAGGAGACTTCGCCACGCCGCCCTAATTCAAATGATTTCTCATGTTCTCGCAATGTTTTATAAGTTCTCAAACATGAATGTTTCCTCGCGGTGTTTGTCTTCACCACCAAACAATATAAATCAGCACTTTTAGTTGCAAGTAACATCATAGCGCGCGTACTTTCAAATATTAAGGTGAGTGGCTGATTAATGGATAAAAAAGATGATTACCTACGACAGCTTCAAGCAAACCTCACGACGTATTATATGGTGTTATTACCATAAAAGTAGCCTATCACAATCTAGAGAAGAAAAGAAAAATCTAACGATACCTCCAACGATTTAGATACAGGCGGTAGCGGATTTAGATCAAGGCGGCAAAATTCTAAAGATTACTATATTCCATAAGTATATCTGTCTACTACATATTGAGATTATAAATTTATTATCTGTGATCTACTCAAAGAAATTAATTAAAAAAATTAAATTGAAAAATGTATTTGCCTTAGTCTCAGTGCTGTAGGTACTGTGTTGATAGTAAGTTATTCACAAGAATTTATTTTAAGATAAATACTTTTAAAAGGCATTTAAAGGCCTAGGTTTGTGGCACACTTTAACAGATTAAGGCAAACGCCGACACAGAATAAGTCCAAAGTGCAGGTACTTTAAGACTTATTTGAGTGCGATTTAATAATAAAATTAAAAGCAAACAAACTTAACTCTGGTAAAACAAGCTTAATTAACTTAAGAGCAAATAAAATCAGATAATGTCAACACTGAATAGAAAAAGATAAGTCTGTGGTATTAAAATACGGTCCAACCACTAGCATCATGGTCCGCTAACATTGGTCTCTATCTCGCTTTACGCATTACGCATTTAAAATAACACAAAAGCAATAATATAAAATTTAAAATTACATGTCAGCGCTAAGAGAGAACTTATCCCACTTCTGATCTTAGAAATTATTTAAATTAAAAAAAAAACATTAATCGATAACAAATATGTTATAAAACTTACAGGATTATTTTTCAAAGAGTAGCCAAGTTTTAAACTTAAGTTCAAATATATAAACAATGATATAGGTACCATTATTGCAGTTATTGCAAATATGAGTAAGTAAGGCTTCTACTTTTATTTCAAACTATCCCAAATTTAATGTGATTTATGGGCAACAACGTTTTTCCCTACCGATTGACCTTTACGATTGTGTGAATACGTAGTAAAATTAGTTAAAATAATGGAATCAATAAAATCAAGCATTTTGAATTTAAAAGATAAAAATTACAAAATGTTTGACATTTTTCTTCATGCAGGGAGAATTATTATTAAGGTTCGCACATGGACGTTGTATTATATTGTTTTTTAATTATGTCGTAACCATCCACAATAATATGTGTATGTGAGACGGACACCATTTCTGCCATTCGGCATAGAACATGAAACAGCGTACCTCTCCAAATATTTTCTTATATTTTCTACAGTTACGAGTACAGTTTCTCTAGTTACAGTATTCAATCTCGGAAGACCTAGATGAACTCCAAACAATCATATTATACTATATCTATTCATGCATACATACATATAATATTAATTGTCCTAAAGTTTTATTGTATAGCGATAAACACTGATTTTCTGTAAAAAATATAGCGCCATAAAAATGTTCGTAACTCAGCAAACAAAACGTTCCATTAGTCTATACCTAATAATTTATTTTTTCCCAGCTTTGGAGCTGTGTGGGTTAGAATTCAAGTTTGTTACTATGTGTGTGTAACTTAAAAACTAGGAGCAAACATATTTTCCCAGTAATGAGAACTAGCTAGATCTATTGTGCTCCCCCGTAAACCTCTATGAAAAACTTCATCGGAATTGTTAGAGCTATTTTCGAGAACGTGATTTCAAACAAACAAATATATAAATATTGCTCGCATAGCAGTACAGGATAATGGCGTGTAATGAACGTTTTACCGCAGTGCAATTAGGGTTGATAGTTTTTTTTAATGATCCCACTTTGTTACAAACACGGAAATCGCTGACATGCGAAGGACAAGTGACAATCAGGATCTCTCATCATGACACTTAAATAGCAACACTTTAAATAAATGAAATACTAATGAACATGAACGAGAAACAATCGGTGGATGTCGCTGTGGTTTTAAAAATCCTGAATAAACTTAGTTGTAGCGTAGATTTTGCTGTCATTATAGCCTGTGTTCAGCACTGGACTTCTGAAGAGCTGTAATGATGATGATGATAGTATAATAAATAATAATATAATAAATTAGTGTTGTTTTAAAATACGCAAAAAAAATTTGATTTCAAATGTACATGGATTTATTAGATGTTATTTAGATATTTATAAAATACTTTAATTGAATACCTCAAATTACCTCCTAGTTTTTCTGTTAATAGATAATCTAAAATATAATTAAAAGAAATTGTAAAAATAATATTTTATTTCATTTATGACCTAAATATTTCCTGAGCGATTCACAAATTCAAAGCGTTAAAATATGTAAAAGGCAAAGATATCTAAAATAGCTACGTTTTAACCACTTGATTTAAAAATAGCAACTTGAACATTAAAAATGAACGGGAGCATACCATATCAATCCGTATAATTACAGCTTTGAGTATAGTCCGCGCAGTTCAGTGTCAACTGAACTTATCTTTTCCAAACCGTACGAGTACATCAAATGGAATTGACAATACCACAAAGTAATTTGTATACCCGAGCCCTAATGTGTGTCCTAATGTGACTTTCGTCGATTGCGTGCGATAAAACCATGATTGTATCGTCGTAGATATCCATGTATCGATTTGGGACGAAAATATTTATTTTGTTCATATATCAATCGTAGTTAATGTAAAAGTTCCATTATCTCTAATTAGTTTCAAATATTAATTACTTTGTTTTCACTATATTTTATAATGGACTAGAAAATTCTTATGCGTTACGTAAACAAAATATCAACGCACGATCTGTTTTAAAATAATAGACCTATTTTAAGCTTTGTTGAATTATTTAACGGGAATGCTAGCAATGTTAAGTGTTGTTAACATTCTTTTAGTACATAGTATTTTAATAATAACTTGAACCCTAGATGCACGATGGACAGAATACTCCGCTGATCTACGCAAAATAAAACAAAATCATTTTAATTTTTCTCTCCTTTTTATTTTTACTTAACCAAAATCCCTTACTATATGCATGTATTTCGAAGATCAAATTACAATGATATCGAGTTTCGTACAAACAGTAGGTAACTATACGCACTCGCGACTCACAGCTGAGCGTATATTTTTTCTGTTTATAATGGGTAACCCAATATTGCTGGATTGACGTGACGACACATCTTATTTTATTTTACGTTTAGATTATCTTACGTTACCAATTTATGTTTTGCTTTTGGTTACTTACTGGATATACTTTTTTTTAAGATTGTTTGTATCAAAACAGTAAACCTAAGTTACTGAGGGCTTTGTGACCAGTAAAAGTTATAAAAACATAAAAATATTGTAAAATTTTTAACCTTGGTTCTTAAATATTCGCCAATCTTTATCTTTATAAATAAACTATATAAAAAAGCAGTTGTGCGCGCATCACGGAAAAGCTAGTGGATAGATTTCAATTAGGTTTTTTAAGTTTTATTTCTTTTTTTTTTCTTTATTTCATTTAATATAAAGTTACTAAAGTTTTAAGAAACAACGATCTTTTTAAGCACTTCGTGTTCAGTTATGTGTCTTTTCTTGCCGCGGAGAAGTGGGGCAAGCGGTGTAGCGCGTATGCGTAGGAGAGGAGAAGTCTCTTGTACTTCTGCCTCATGATTAAGTTAGGGCCAGCCACGCATTATATGCGCAAGCGACCTGATGCTGTTCAGTTGTACCTTGATCGATGGCCCCTCGTAGTTTCCTATAGTTTTTTCAGTAATTTTTCACCATTAAATAATTAATTTTCATATAATTCGTTTTCTTACGTATTTATAGGTATATATATCGAAAACTTTGTTAATATATCAAGCAAGGCGGACGAAGTCGTGGGTATCCGCCAGTATATACAAATGTGTTACATAGTATCATTATTATCATCAAACTGAAAGTCTTCAGTAACTGCATACGCAACGTTGAATCTCCTCAAGGACAATTTGTCAGATTTTCTTCTTAAACAGGCAAAGGTACGAATTTCTACAGAACTGTAATTTCGATACAATGTTTAAACTGACACATAATAAAACCTCCACATATCCTAAGCCTGTATACATAGGCCACTTTGGCAGACGGATAAAGAGAAAATACCAGATACTTGCCACACTATTGTGGCGCCTACACGCTTCTACACGTGTTGCAAATTTACATATTACTGGTAGTTTTTAAGATTCACACATATAGATAAAAAATTTATTAGTGCAACATCCAGGTGATTTATTTATTGTGCTGATGAATTCTATAGCACCGCCACCACAAAAATGTCATTGCGCTCTAATAAAATACTTATAAAATAATTTCATTTGTGCTAGGTTCCGGTTCTCAGGACGTGTTCTGGGCCTAGCTCTGGTACACGGATACCTGCTGGAGGCGTGGTTCACGCGAGCGCTGTACCGCGCACTGTTACGGCTTCCCCCTGCGCTGGAGGACGTCGATGCGTTGGACGCGCAATTCGCCGCTTCTCTGCGCTGGTTGCAGGTGAGATATAAAAACGGTAAAATTTTCAAAGATATGATGTAAGAAAATTATCTAATATCATGTGTTATCAGATGGACAGCAGCACGCTGCGCTGCCTGATTAAACTAAAAAAAAAACTGTGGTTGACAACCTGCCCGTAAGTTGAAGTAGCTATGACACGTATACCTTTTATGAAGCAAGCTATGGGGGAGGCTTATGTTTTGTTTGAAAGGCTATAATGATATGGTACATGCGTATTAACAGCTGCTGGCTCTAGGATAGATGTTAACCGACCTCAATATCCCGGATCGCAGTGTTATGATTTTCGGAACTTGGGCAATAACTATTGTTACCGAGTTTGCCAGATTGGCAGGCTTGACTTTGGTTGATGACGGGAGAAATAAATATCTAGGAAAAAATAAAAATTTTACTTTTAATTTTTAAAATCTATCATTACCATTAAATGTATTATAACCCACATTGGTCTGGGACCTATAGTTTCCATGTTTATGTGAAACTTATATTAAAAATAGCTGTGCCCGCGGCGTACCTCACGTATATAGGTATAGGTATATATATAAAGAATTTGACGTTTAGTTAAGAGAATATTACTTAAACGATTTATATCATTACTGTATCAATAAGTGGTAACAAATAAATCGTTATCCTCAAAGTTCTAAGTCGTTTATGATAGAGCTTCTGTGTAAACGACGTTAGAAGTATACGGCCGGGGCGTAGGTACACAAATAGGTTATGGGGCCTACTAACGCGGGAAAAAGCAACATAGAGTTGGCCATGTGCAAAACAGTTAGTACTGAGGTCCACTCCTGGAACGCGTAAAGTTTGAGCTTGCGCTTTATTTACGGTCATCGCATAACACACGCTGACTGGGAACTGAACACGCTTAAAACTGAAAGGAAATTTATTTGGGATTAGAGGGATTCCGGGTATAAAAATAATATCACGACATTTTGTTGCAATTTTGTTAGTTTTTAATCGAGTTTCGTTGCATAGCTTGGGTGGGCGTGTTTCTTTTCTGGTTTCTGGTAATGATTGTGCTGTTAGCTTACACGGCTCTTTCAACTTCATCGTACTCACGGGTACAAATTTCTTCAGTGAGTCTCAATACGATTAAAAAAAGCGAAAAAATCACCGCAATTCTTTTTTTTTTCTTTTGCGCCCAAAGAGAGGTTACCCTCTGGAAGCGGGGGAGGAAGGTGGTGAATGCTCATAGCATACCACGGCAGCCGGCTGCGTGGTTATGTGGGACTCGCTTTGAAGAAGTGCCTACCCACTAAACACCACCTGTGGGACTGGCGTTGGCCATTATGGCCTTCCTGCCGAATCGGAAGCGACCCCCTATAGGAAAAAGGGGCGCCACCGCAATTCAGAAAAAGTTGTAATTTATACAACGCGATCTATTACGTTCTTTGTGAGAAAACATCCTTTTTTTAATTTAAGGAAAACATATTTTTTGTTTACTATGTTTTAAGTATATTATAATAGAACGATTTTTTTGCACACGAATCTTTTTATTACTATTTCTGAGTTTTATGGCGCCTTTAAACAGATTCGAACCTAGATTTCAAAATAAGAATCATAACTTTCGATAGAATTAACCAATTTTAATAAAATAAAGATTAAAAATGAACTCGAATATACGCTTTATGATTTTCTTAACGACTTCTTTGCATAACAGACAGACCGACAGACAGACAATTCTAAAAGATATAAAAATGTACTTATTTAATGATTTTCAGTCCCCATAATGATTTTAGTCACAAACATACCTACTATACAATGTACCTAAACAGACACAATATGTTATCACCATGTTTATTATATGTATAGATTTAAAGAGAGATGGCGCTGTTAACATCAATTCTAAAAATAAAAGAGATTAATTGACGAAATCGATACATTATATAAAACATAAAAACACTTATAAATCAGTGCGTGCATAGTAAGCAAAAAAGAAAGTTTGATCCTGGCCGAAACCAACGAAATTGTTAATAAATCTTAAAATTTTATTTACCAATTAGATTACTCGGCGGTAAAGAATAATTGAGTTTGTCAACACGCAGTAGGGCAACTATTAATATAAAGATTAGCAGCAAATATGAAAACTCATCTACAGGAAAAAACCAAAAACTGCCTTTTTGTATTAAATTTGGACAACACTGCCATCTATCGCTGAAATTGGTTAACTATTGTACTTTAGACTTATAGATAATAAGATTAATATATTTTTGTATATACTTATTACGTTCTTTTTCTTTAATACTTTTGTTTACTGCGTTTTAGATATAATTATATCATTATAGAACATCATTTAATTATGATTTATAATATGATATTAGTTTAAAATGCACTTAATGACTCAAGCAACGCCACCATTGAACAAATTTCGTACATATACCTCGTACCCATACTTAAGAATATTTATCATAACTTTTGATGGAATGAACTGATTTTAATGAAATAAAGACTAAATGTAACCTGAAGATACACTTTATAATTTCCTTAACGATTCTCATGATATAAATTAGTACTTTATATGTGATACGTTAACAAACAAACAGACAGACAGACAATTCTAAAAACAGTAGAAATGTATTTAATTACTTATTTTTAGTATCTCTCAATCACTTTTATTACAAAAATATAAAATGTACAGACGTCTGCTATTTACATTTTTATTATATGTATAGATATAGATAATGTACCAAATATGTTACTTGCTTATCATGTCGACCTGTGCTATTTGCTTACCTTACGATACATAAAAGCTATTAATGGGATATCTTTTACGTACCAAGTTGCAAAATAATTAAATTGTTATGCGCTGGCCCAAACCGGTGGATCGCGTAGCATTCTCGGGGTGGGACGTTAAAATTAGCTACATATTTGGTCAGGACTCATAGCTGGTCAGGAGATTTTGTATATTGGAGATTGTATACTGGACATATGATATTTCGGAAGAATCAAGATGAATCATAGACTAATTCATTCATTCACGTTAACACAGTGCGAGCAAGTGGTAGTTGTCAAGCAGTGGTTTTAAAAAATTGGTGGGGATTGTAACGTCTATGTCAGCAAGTCGCTCGTTAAATGAGCGAGAACCCGGATTGGCCAATCTGCGCGTTGCTCCTTCCCTGTGAACCCGCCCGGCCTTGACGCAAACTAAGATCGTAACTGCGAGCTGACTTAATAATTAATGGTTAAATAATGACTGCACTTACGTCTTTATGATTAAACATTTTGTAATTATTAAGGTAAGACCATAGAGCTTTTGTTTACGGTTCACTTTTCTGACTGTAGTTTAGCACCCACGGCAATATATTATATTACTGTTATGTTTAAAAGTCTCTCAATGACACCTCGCACATTACATGGTGACCCTGCCTGGTTTGTGTGATTTTAAGACGTTTCACTTCAAAAGTGCGTGAGAAGCGCAAGTACGTAACGGTGCATGGTTGTGTGCGTGCAGTCGGCGCGCTGCGTGTCGTCGCTGGAGCTGACGTTCGCGGTGTCGGAGCGGCTGGCGGACGGGCGCGTGCTGGAGCGCGAGCTGAAGCCGGGCGGCCGCGACCTGCCCGTCACCGAGCGCAACCGCCACGAGTACCTCGAGCGCGTCGTGCGCTGGCGCGTGCAGCGGGGCGTCGCCGCGCAGACCGAGTGGCTCGTGCGCGGCTTCCACGAGGTGAGCACACATACACACGCACACACATACACACACGCACGCACATGCACACACGCACGCACGCACGCACGTGCACGCACGTGCACGCACGCACACACACACACACGCACGCACATGCACACACGCACGCACATGCACACACGCACTCACGCACGCACGCACTCACGCACGCACGCACGCACGCACGCACGCACACACACACACACACACGCTCGCATGCACGCACGCACGCACACACACACACACACACACACACACACACACACACACACACACACACACACACACACACGCACACACACCACACACCGCGTGCGTGCAGCGGGCCGTCAACGCGTAAACTGAGTGACTTGTGGCACACACCCTCGCTAGACTCGCGTGCAGCAGGGCGTGAGCTTTCTTAAAATACGGACGCATGCACACACCACAGACACACACGTTTTTCACAACATATTTTGTTTCTTAATTGAGGATAAATGTAAATGTCTATGGGCTACAGCATCCACTTACCATCAGGTGGACTGTGTGATCGTTTGTCACAATTATTCTATAAAACGACACAGCTTTAAACTAGAGTCTGTTACAAGAAAGAATTTCCGTAGAAAACTTGCAAACTTAAATTTGCATAGGATTCATCATATATCATCATCATCATCATTACAGTCTTTCATAAGTCCACTACTGAACATAGGCCTCCCCCAAGGAATGCCACAAAGCACGGTCCCGAGCCACCTGCATCCAGCGACTTCCTGCATGTCTTACCAGGTCGTTACTCCATCTAGTGGGGGGGGTGGGTCGCCCTACACTTCGCCTACCGTTACGAGGCTGCCACTCGAGAACCTTTCTTTCCTATCGGTTATCGGTTCTTCGAGATATATGGCCGGCTCACTGCCACTTCAGCTTACTAATCCGTTGGGCTATGTCGGTTACTCTGGTTCTACTGCGGATATCCTCATTTCTAAGTTTATCACGCAGAGAAACCCTAAGCATAGCCCTCTCCATAGCTCGCTAAGCGACCTTGAGCTTCCTCATACGTCCAGCAGTGAAGGACCACGTCTCAGATCCGTAAGTCATCACTGGCAACACGCACTGGTTGTACAATTTCGTTTTCAGGTTTTGAGGTATGTCGAACGAGAAGATGTGTCGTAGTTTCCCGAATGCTGCCCAGCCGAGTTGAATCCGTCGATTGACCTTTCGGTCGAAGTTGGACTTACCTAGTCGAACTATTTGTCCCAGGTAAACATACTCGTCAACAACTTCGAGCTTAGTGCTCCCAACAACTACCGGCATAAGTGTGACATGGACGTTAAACATGATCTTTGTTTTGTCCATGTTCATCTTAAGACCTATCCGTTGGGAGACACTATTGAGGTCATTGAGCATAGTGCTTAGGTCCTCCAGCGATTCTGCCATAAGGACTATATTGTCGGCAAATCGAAGGTGAGTGATTTACTCGCCATTGATGTTAATACCGTATCCTTTCCAGTCCAGTAGCTTGAAAACATCTTCCAATGCAGCGGTGAAGAGTTTCGGGGATATAACATTTTAAATCCCTGATGCTAGTTATCATCAAGTAAAGGGACCGCGACAGATTTATATTTTTTTATACGGACCCGCAATCAAACTAATTGGTGATCCCTGCGATAGAATATGCAAAGAGATGCACTTCTCTCCGCAGCGCCAGTGAGTCAAACCAATCAGAAAGAACTCTGTCGTCGACGATTCGAACCGCTCTGCGCTGGATGCGATGAAGTGGAAGGTGGCACTGGGATGCCCCGGCCCAGAGATCAGAACAGTATTCCATGTGAGGCCAAAGCTGCGCCTTGTAAAGTTACAAGCGGTGTGCCGGCATGAAATACTGTCACGTTCTACAAAGCACGCCAAGCTTTTTAGAGGCCAATTTGGCCTTCCCTTTCTAGTGACCGCGGAACAGAACGTCTTTCGATATGCCGAGAATTCCGATTTTAACTGAGGCAACGTGAAGAGTGCCTTGAAATCGAGGCGATGTAAGAAAGGGGTTCTTTTTAGCGATAAACGTGCAAACTTGTGTCTTCTGGGGATTGAACTGGACTAGATTTAGTCGCCCCCAATCCGAGATTTTGTTCAACAAAGACTCGACTTCAGACACAAGTTTATTCCGGCCCGGTGTATAAGGCATCGCCAGTGCTGTCATCTGAATAACAATGAATGTTACTGGTTTGTAACATATCGTTGATATGCAATAGGAACAGGGTAGGCGATAGCACGCAGCCTTGTGGAATACCAGTATTCACGGGTTTAGTTAGAGTCGGTAAATGCACCGACTATTATGACGACGACCGTCCTTAATGCTTCGATCTGAGAGAACGGGTCATAAAATTGCACAATTTTTCGGGAAGCCCATACAACGAAAGAAGCGCTTTGTGCTATTTTTTTATAGGAAGGGGAAAACGAGCATGCAGCTCACCTGATGGTAAGTGACTACCGCCACCTATGAACAACTGCTACAACAGGATAGTTGCAGATGCGTTGTCGGCCTTTTTAAAAAGAGTAGGCTCTTTTCTTGAAGGTCCCTAAGTCGTATCGGTCCGGCATAATCTCTGGTGTTAGTCTATTCCACAAGCAAGTTGTGCGAGGAAGAAAACTTCTTGTAAATCACACAGTGGTAGACCACCAATTATCCAGATGCTATGGATAGTGTCTCGAGCTTTGTCACGATGTGCGATGGTGAAATTGAGCGTCTGGAATTAGTCCGTACAATTCCTCTGAGCACTCCCCGTGGTAAATGCGATACAATACGCAAAGAGATACAACATTTCTTCGCAACGTCAGTGAGTCAAGCTGATCGGAAAAAGCAGTGAGCAGGATCCGATCAAATGGCACTGGGGAATCCCAGCCCAGAGATGGGAAAAGTATTCCATATGAAGCCGAACAAACGCCTTGTAAAGTTACAGGCAGTGTGGTAGCATGTAATACTGCCCCGCTCTGCTGAGCACGCCTATCTTTTTAGAAGCCAATTTGGCCTTCTCTTCCAAGTGACCACGAAACTGCACGTCACTCGATATGTCAACGTCGAGGATTCCAATACTGGCTGAGGCAACAAGGGGAGTGCTCCGAAACTGAGGATATATGACAAAGGGGTTCTTTTTAGCTTTAAACTTGTGTCTTATGGGAATTTCACTGGACTAGATTAAGTCGCTCCCAATCCGAGACTTTATTAAAAAAAAAATGCTAAAAGGAAGGTCTTCGCCAAACTAACCGCCATGGCTTCCATCTTGGGCCCGAACGCCTACGCCCATTCGTGTGTTAGATAAACAAGAAGATCACCAAATACTTGGACATATCAGACCGGTTATATTTTAGGAATCGGGTGTACGGAAGCTGTCTTCCGTGAATTCGGGACTACACCTAGGGAGTTGGAGTACCGGAAAAGACGCGTTAGAGAGACTTCTACAAATCACATTTTAATAAGTATATATGTAATATTATTTACATATATTTATAGAGATTGTTTCCACATGACAAACACCTGTTGTTCTGTTAAATATGAATATTGTCAATATTTAATTATCAGCATGCTCAAATTTTTATTATAAAAAAAGTTTTGTATTATAGATAGAATGTATGGAATGATACAAACATTATAATCAATAAGCAATTATAGTATTACTTAATTCATACATTTAATTAAAAGCCTGTTACTTTATTTAATTAATACAAAAAATCACAAAAACCCCTTTGTAACGTTAAAGTTGCACAAATGTAGTGCTGCCTAAATATAAATAAAAGTGCAGAACACCACGTAATATGGTTTGCTTCAACCAAACTAAATCATGTGTTCATATTTGTACGGCGCTTGCATCAATGACTGACTCCTGAAGGAAGAATGAACCCTCAGGTTTGTTTCACATTTTCTCATTCCACCAAATAGAATTAAAATATTTACTGAGCAGTCCCTCATAGTCTATGCCATTAATTATAAATAAGTTTGATTACATACAATTACATTAAAAGAAATACAATAAAAATTACATTAGGTTCTTACAAAATAACTTGACACCTTCAATTTGGTTTCATAATTAAAATTAAAATATTTCAACAAACAACCATAAAATCATAGAAGCATAAAAGGTCAATTAATGACTTATACATACATTTACAGTTTATTGTAAACAAAGATCAAAAGAGGTCATCTTTTGATCTTTGTTTACAATAAACTGTATAAATATGAAAGTAAAATAAACTTTAATATTACTGCCGATAAAATATCCACAGAAACATCACAGAAAATACACTTATCCTAATTTATGTGATCTCACAATTACATTATTACATTAATAAAACTGTCCAAAATGTGTACAACAACAAGTCACTAAATTTTTTAGACAAGCATTAATAGTTCATTAAATATTATGCTTCATAATGTCCCAATAACATAGATTAATAGTATGTACAGCACTATTCGCAGTCATTATTACTATTCACTTGGACTATGGAAACCATAGACAACTGGGTGAGTAGACTGCAAGTCTTCAGTTACTTCTTGTGCACCATTTGTTTGATCTTCATTTTCAACCGGTAAATTTTCACGATCAATAATGGGTAACTCGAAGGCAGGGCTATCACAGTGGCATGAGCTACTGTCACTATCTGAACTGGATGAACTATCAGTTTCAGAATCTTCACTAGAATCTTGCGAGTGTTGACGCAAATGTTCATTCTCTTGTCTTAACTTTTCATTAGCCACCTGAAGTTCACGAATTTGTTCTTCCTGTTCTTTAAGGCGTTGCATTAAATCCGCAACTGAAGACCCGTCCATGGAACCAGAGGCAATTGAAGCTTCTGATGTGTCTGGATCAGTCAACATGCTGTTCTTGTCTGTAATAGATGTGTGTTTATCCGTAATGTTAGCATTTTCTGTGTCCACTTCTTTTTCCTTAGAACGTTCGGTTCTTTTTACAAGATTATCATATTTTGCTTCAAGTAAAAGATATTCTTCAATTAGCTCGTTTTTCGACATATTGGATAAACGTTCACTTTGTGCGTCTTCATAAACACTTGAAAATTCCTTTGTCAAGTACTCTTCTTCATCTTCTGGTAATGAATAAAAATAGTTATCTTCGGAATCAAGGCTAAAACTGGAATCGCGAGTGCGTGCAGATGGTGTTCTTAAATTATGGAAATTATCTTCAGGTACCGGTTTATGAATTTCCATTAGAAACTGATTGTTGTTAAAAGGTGCTTTTGTTTTAGCCAATACTATTTTACGAAATCTATTATACCTTTTAGTTTGGTCGTTCTTTCTCCGTTCTTGCCAAGGGATTTTGGCAAATGGTTTCATTATTTTTCGTGTAGATTTCCCGCATCGCCTCTTCTTTTCTAAATTGCCTTCAAATTTTTGTTTACACACTTCAAGTATTGGTAGCGCTTCCATAATTAAAAGGGGTCTCGGATGGTCGCCATCTTTTATTTCACCGATGTTATTTACGTCCATTTTGATATGTACCATTAAATATTCAATTTTAACTTACAATATTACTATAATTGCACCCAAGTGTTTTACAATATAAATCAACATTAGCAAGATAACAATATTAGGGAGTCACAAACACCCAGATAACTACAATTTCGCCATTTTTCTCCAGAACCAGTGCCAACTCTGGAGCACACGTGCTCAGCACAATGGGGGGGATTCCATCAGGCCCACACGACTTGTGGATATCCAAGAAGAGGACAATGTCTAATTTACTTGGTTGTAGGACTCCTTTTCTTCCTAGGAGGTTCCTTCTACCTTCTATCTGGGAAGGTATCAGCTCTTACCTATTTCTGACGTTAAATGGCAATGTGTGCGCTGTTGCGTTCCGGTCTTAAGGATATAGAGAGAAATTATAATGACAAGCTAGGTGTGAAGCATACCATCTTAGTCCTCGGAGGTGACTGTAGCTTTTTGTTTGTAATTGGCTGCAAGTGCCCATGAATTGCCATCCGATGAACTATTTCGTTCGTTCGTCGTTCGTCACTTCAGATTTGTAAAAAAACTCACGTAGCCAGTGGCGTTGCCACCACGGCGAGTTACGATTTTTCAGTCATGCACGTTTCTTAAGATGTGTTTCTTCACTGTCGAGCACGTATTTTGAAATAACACGTTTAGTAAGCGAGGTCAACATAGATAATTGGAGTTGCTAGAGTACTATTAAATTTTAAGGAGTGTCCAGCCCTCGACTTTCTCGTCTATTTCAAATAGTTCAAAATGTGTGACTAACACGACCACGATCACACATTAAAATTAAAAACAAAAACTGCAATAAATTCGTATATAGGTACCTAATACATATAAGTAATCCTTTCTTACTACTTCAAAGCTTCAAGTATTGTTATAAACTCACACGTGATATTATTGTAACTTTCAGCATCAGTTTCTAACTTACACATGGCACATACTGCATATTATGCATATAATTAAAACACAAATACAAAACAACGAGCTCACAAATAACATAGCAATACAATATTGACGAACACACGCAAATTACACGCAGTCACGTAGTTATCAATGTTGTTTGTTTTCTACGATGCTATTTTTAATTTTCCTTTAACTACCTACCTACGCACAAACAACTATTAGTACGCCCAAACAACATTATAACACATTTATAGCCTTATACTGCAATATACTAATAAAAAACGTATTTAATGCAACTTGTTCATGTTTTATGAAAACGTTAACTTGTTAACCTTTGCAATAACATAATTTGATACAATTCTCTGAATATAAATAATTTTTAATTCCATTGTGACCACGTTGTAAACAGTTAGTCGAAATGAGGGGAACCGTGAGCCCAGTCGACAGCTGCTTCCTACCGTTCTCCTTTACCAGCTTGTATTGGTTCACAGCTGGACATGAACCGTTCCCACTCAATGGAGGATTTGTCGGAAGTGCTTGGATTTGCGTTAAAAGTACTGAGTATATCTCTCACCCCTCGGCGTTGCTCCGCCTCAACGGTCTGGGTATGCCCAGATTAAGCGCGTTTTATAAAAATATTTTATTTATTTTTGTTACATAAATATAACATAAAATTATGCAACAAAAATATATCCCAGGGTTGATTTAAAATATCTACAAAACAAAATGGGACTATGGATTATCATGCCGCTTCGACACCGCCTTATGTAGACTGTTAGCCAATGGCGTATTTAGGTTCAAAGCCTCCATCGGGGTTAGCCAAGTTGAATTTCTACAATCGATTTCACGTTGAGATATGTCATACCTACCCATTCATTTTTATAATTTTCTATTAGCTTTAACGATAGCAAAAACTCCTTTGTTAACTCTGCCATATTGGACTTGACTGTCGTTATTTTTAATTCATGGGTACGAGAGAATATTCTGCCGCCCTGGGCTACAACCAAGTTAGTTACTTACGTAAATACACTTCTAACTTTTAGTTAATTAAGTCTTTATGTTAGGTGGTGGATCCTCGGTTAGTGGCGGCATTCGATGCGCGAGAACTGGAACTGGTGATAGCGGGCGCGCCGGAGCTGGACGTGGCCGACTGGCGCGACAACACGGAGTACCGTGGCGGGTACCACGACGCACACCCCGTCATCATCTGGTTCTGGCAGGCCATCGACAGGTAACTAAGCTTTTGCGTTCTTTGCTTTTTCACTGTTTATAATCTCAGGCTCGACTACTTTCTTACCTGATGGTAAACGATTATGTAGCCGAGCATGGTAAAACGCACTGACTTAGCTCAACAAAAGGCTTTTTACTTTTACCTTGAACACACTCACTTGTAATCAGACAAACAGGTTCTGGTTTGGTTTGAATGCCTTATATATCAATAATATGGGAGAGAATGAGGACCTGCCGAGCGTTTGGTTGTCCGATTGTGGAAGGGAGGGAGAGTAATTCCTGCGTACACTTTTTGTTGCTTCTGCTATTAAGATCCTGCGTTCTCTATCTAAAAACTACGACTGCTTTTCTACTTTACACTAATTTTTTTGCTTTTAACTTTCTAAATGATTTTAACGTATATTATCTAAAAACTTTTGCGTAAATATAAGAAATCATAAACTGAAGTAGTATTCGCGTAGGTAAATATAAAAATATATAAGCTTTATTTTTTTTTTGTAATTGTATCGTGTTTAATTTTTATTCCCTTTAAAAAATTAAACATGATGAAACCCGTAAAATTAGTTTCAATCGATATAACTTTCTTGATTAGAAATGTGCATAAACCACAGAACAGAACCTTTTAAATATTACGAACTTTACGAACAATGTTACCTACTTTATTCGTGACCCAAACCCAAATTTAATCTACGGGACTACATTGTGGTAGTGTAAGAGAAACCGTCGTCTATGTTCATCCCGGGGGTGACGTAAGACTAATTAGAATAATTTCTAAAATATTTGATGGTTTTCGATGAATGGCGGTTTAAACCATTCCTTTTACGGCAGACGTAAAATAGCCAGACCAGCGATTGGGCGCAGCGCCAAATGTGTGCCAAGCGTGGCGATTATGGCAAATCTTCCCCACATCAGGAATGACCAATGTTCACTAGTGAACTTTTACGGAATGTGATAGGAGAAGACAAAAAAAATCTGCAAAAAATCACATCAATATAGCCTTTTTTAATTGCACTGCTTGACATAGGTCTTTCAAAGAATGTGCCAACTACCACAATACTCTCTCAACGCATACTCAGCACGCTGGAGCTGGACCGGCAACTTGATAAGCCACTACCCACTACCTTATTATATAAATGATGCATTTTATATAAATAACTGCCTCGATGCTCTAGTGGTTGTAAATGCGACTGCTGATCATGAGGTCCCGGGTTCGAAACCCGGGTCGGGCCATCATTTTTCTGCCAAGAAGTTGCCCGAAGTCAGGAAGTTGGTGGTGTCTTATTCCCGTGCCTCGGAAAGCACGTGTCGGTTTACCGTCCTATCAAACTATGAGAATGAGGGAATAGAGAGTGCACCTGTGCTTGCGCATACACTTGTGCACTATAATCCTGTCCTGCGCCGATGGCTAGTCTCCATCGAGGCTAGCCATCGTTACCGAAATTCGGTTTGGAGGAAGTTATTATTATTAGATATCATATAAATGAACTCTGTGGCCACACTATATATTGCCCCTAGTATTGCCATTCACGTAATCTACTTTATTTTTTACCAAAAGTAGAAATATAATCTATAACGATTGTCAACATCTACATAATATATGTATGCCAAAACCCTAAACCATATAAATATTTATTGTATTTTATAGGTGCGGCTCATATCTGAAGTTCAAAAAAATACAGTGGCGCCTTAAAGTATAAATAAGCATAGCTTGCCTATAAATACCCCTAAGAGTGGCGCATATAAGCCATAAATACAGTCACGCTTGGGAGGCGAATTGAATAATTCTAAATTACTAAAGCTATATTTTGAAAATTACGGTAAACATACTAACTTTGAGAATTGCGTAAAAGCAAATTCCACGACAACAACCACGATATACGAACACAAAATATAGATTAGATCACGGAAGACGATTACTCTCTACCGGAATAGATTTATTTTTAAATGAATAGACGATAACAAGGCGGGCGTTGAGTTCAGCTCATCGTAGTTATGATATCAATACCAGTTGTGTCGATAAATGAGGTTATTTACGCCAGCCCGAGCCATTAGTATTCTTCATTCGTATTTGATTTGTTTTGTAGGTACCTATTTGTTTTTTAACAAACGTGAAAACAGATCGAAAATTCACGAATATTTAGATACGCAATAATGAAATAGATTATAATTAATAGAGATCTCGTCATATGTAAAAAATTAATGAATATTTAAAAATAATATGAATAATTGATAAAGCATTGAAAATATAAATTAAGGTCTTACGTAGTGCCACATAATCATAATTTATTATATTACTTATTTATGTAGCCTTATTATCACGAAATACGGTTATTTTTGATATAAGGGTAACAAACGAGCACAGTTCACTTCATTGTGTAGATATGGTGGTCCATTGACACCTACATTTATTATCCTCGTTTCAGAATCAATATGCAGATACGTTGTCATCCATGAGGACTAAAATGAAGTGCCTCGTTACTAGGAAAAAGAATCTCCGTATCTAGTCTCTTACCACACGAAATACGGCAGCATTATATATCTATTATACGCTGGTATTTAGTGCGAGTTTACTTCTTCCACGGTGCAGCATAGATTTATCACATTTGGAGAAATTAGTGTTATTTTATTATTAAGGCTGTTATATAATTTATATTATTCTATATTAAGGGGGTTTTCGATAATTTGTTCTTTCTTTACTTTTTTATTTTTATCTTTTTTTTTTAAGAAAACGTTACCCCCACACTAGGATTTTCTCCTGTATCATGGAGGCAGTTTACAAACATACATTGCACAAGGACAAACATCCAGACCCGGAAGAATTATTTGTAGGCCATACAAATACTTGTTCCGTGCGGGATCAAACCCGCGACTGCGTTGCAACTCATTGCTAAGCCACTACGCCACGGAGCCGTTATAATGTATTCAAAAGTAATCCCGACTTTTTCTAGACAAGAATGACACATAACAGGTGTGTGTTATCCCTTGGCGCAGGTTCACCAACGAGCAGCGGCTGCGCCTGGTGCAGTTCGTGACGGGCACGTCGTCGATCCCGTACGAGGGGTTCTCGGCGCTGCGCGGCTCGACGGGCCCGCGCCGCTTCTGCATCGAGCGCTGGGGCCGCGTGGAGTCGCTGCCGCGCGCGCACACGTGCTTCAACCGCCTCGACCTGCCGCCCTACCCCGCGCCCGCGCTGCTGCACGAGAAGCTGCTGCTCGCCGTCGAGGAGACCAACACCTTCGGCATCGAGTGAGCGCGCCGCAACCACCCCTTCAAGTGTTGACAACGCCCGCGCTGCTTCTCGCTGTCGGGGACACCAACACCTTCGGCATCGACTGAGAGCGACACACACCCGTTGCTGAGCGTTAACAAGTCATGTTAACTTTCTATGATTCTCACCCGTAGTCATAGGCGTGTGCCGACAAGTCATGTTGGATAACCCAACGGGGTTTCTACGATTATTAACACTATAAAAAACCATAATAATGAATAGGATCTCTTTTATAGAAATAGGGTGATCAAGTCCGCACAGAGCGCATCATGAGTGCACAGTCCACCTCATGGTAAGTGCATTCTGTGGCCCATAGACATCTACAAATATTGTCTATTAAGAATCAAAATGCATTTTGGTAACTAATTAATTCTTTAGGGACAAAGATGGAATGCGTTTCCGGTGAAAAAGCTTTTTTTACACAGATGCAACCTCTAAGTGAAAGCCTTGTTTCCAGTATAAGGGGTTTACAGTTCTCTACACTCACCATATGAAACACAGCAGCATTAAGTGTTAAACACTAAACATGATTTCCTTGATTTGTAGTCTTCTAGTGTTAACGGTCATAGAATGTTACATGACTAACCCCCAGAGGCAACTCACATTCCTTTACCTTGTGGCCAGAAGTAGTAGCTGCCTCACCATAATAACAAACTTAAGAAGAGTTACTATAATACAAAATTGTGACCAATTTTTTTTCATGTTTGCAGTTCTGATCTATCTTTTAAAGTTCCTAGGTCATCAGGAAGTTAGTTTAAAATCGATTGAAGTATTGTATTATACAAACAAACAGAGAAAAAAAATAGTAAAATGCCAACAAATATGCAAGAAGCAATTTGAAAGACAATTTTTTTTAATCACTCATGTTTGTTTAAAAATATAGTCAACAAAATGTTATAAACTTCTATGTATAACCTAGTACATAGCATTGATTTTTCTTACATGCGAGGCTGAGCTACTTAGTCCTCTATGGTGATGAGTGCTGCAAATCACTTTGTAAATTAAAAACAAGTTAAAATTAATAAGTTATGATTACATCCAGATCTTTTTTATCATTAAATAACCTTAACTTTTTCCTGGTAAATTTTACTGAAAATATATATAAATTATCTATAATGTACATGTGGTTTATTTAATTAGCCAAAGTATAACTTTTAAGGCACATACAATTTCTATAAGATTCAGAATAAGACCGGAGACGGCCACTTACATGCTGTGAAGAAAGTTTCTAATTTAATTCCAAACATTGTAAAGTATGGTAGTTGAAATATGTAAACTGTTTTCATCTAAAACCAAATTAGATATTTAAGAATTTTTAAAATACAGTAATTGTAAATTATTCATGAACTTGTAGGGTCTATGTAAATAATAGTCAATTGAAATTATGATAGCAGACAATCAAAGATAGTAAAGTTTAATTGTAATAAATATGTTGTATTTTAGATGTGTCTAGATGTTTGTCAATATAACAAGCCACTTATGTATTTATGAGGTTTGTACTTTAATAATGCTTTTATTATAATTATAAGTAATGTATACCGTGGCTGTGAAGCGGGGCTTAAGTCCTGTGTTTTAGATATTACGCTTTTATGTCACTAATTTATAGTTATGTTGTACTTCCAACTAATGAATCTGTCCATGAATATATTCAATAGTTTGTGGCTGAAATGAACTTAAAGGTAAAACTAAATTCATAAAGAGTATTAAGTACCAAGTGTTACAAAATTATCTTTTATTGCTTAAAACAGAAGCTACCAAAATCTTCATTTCACAAATACTACCTAGTCAGCTATCAAATATATAATATGCTTATACGGATTAACAGTATACCACATGTGCAGCGTAACTGCTAAAATAATGAATGTTATAATAACATATAATAACTGTTAACTTAAGAATGTGATGTGATTTTCTTTTACTGTAAGAGATGTTCCTTGCTTATTTTAAACTGATACCTTGATGAGAACTCTGCTCAAAATTTTTCAGTGGCTCTAAAATGAAACAAACATTATATTATCTAGGAGATAAAGTTGAATAAGTTTGTAATTGTAAATAAACATTATTTATTGTGCTTACATACACTCCAGAAGTGTAAGTTTATGTTTATTTTAGTAAGTAATAGTTCTATTGTGTTGAATATTTAATTACTTTTAAATATTTTATTGTGTAAATTTTAAGTAACTTGTTTTTGTGTGAATGTGATAAAATGTGTCAATATACAATATTACTTACATACAGTGGTTTGATTTATTTGAGTTCTCACCACAAATCACAGCCACTATACAATACTCATAGTGCTCCTTGGATATACTACCCATAAACGAAAATGTATAGAATTTGACATTCTAATTATGGCCATGAGAACCAGTAGCATAATTCACTATTAAAATTTAATAGCCTGAATGAATAATTCTTTGCTTTACATTTGAAATGTAAATTAAGAGTTTTATATAATATTTCAAAGCCAGTAAAGCATCTATTTATTACTTTTTGAGTAAAATGCACTCTGGCTCTTCCAGCCCCAATGGTGGCCTTGAATGTTAGGGGGAGGAAATTTAACAGGTACATTTTAAATGGAAATGGTATCAACTTCCATAACTTCAGCAGTACACAAAAATAATCAAAAATTTCACACATACAAAATGTTTATTTTTCAAAAGAAGTTTGTGTAACAACAAAAATCAACCTTGTTCTTTTTTTAACCTTATCTTTTAAAACATAACTATTTACAGTTCTAAAAGTATGCATTTCGCAACGCAAACTCATGATACAAATGCAACAAGGGTTATTCCTTTACAATGTTCTACACTAATTTGTGACGAGTTAATTCATTAGTGTGTCACTGTCTCAAAAGTTTAAAAATCTTATCAATAACTCATAAAAGTTAAACCATAAAGCTGTGATTACATTTTGATAAAAGCTACTGTTATGATAGATTCTTATGCATTACTGCAGCCATGTGAATTCAAAATTAAAACTTAAAAATATCCTCCCCCTCCATTAAAACCCCCTGACAAAACAATTATGATTAGTAACTTTCCAAATGTGAGAAATTCTGTTAGCTTTTCTGGCATCTTCGGACGAGGAAATAGTCAATGCCCCAATCAAATAACATTTATAATATAATAGATACACATGTGTGTAAATATTTTGTATATTTACTTCAAAAATAACGGTACATACAATATTAATTTGTATTTCTATAGTACTTTTGAAAGGGGAGAAAGGACTCACTGTGAGTCTAGCTGAGAGAGGGGAAATCCTTGCTGTCGTCAACCTTCGGGGGTGCCACCTGGTTGCGCGGCAGCGGGCGCTCCTCGGGCTGAGGCTCCTCGCGCGGCGGAGCGCGCCCGCGCCCGCGTCCGCGCCCGCGCCCGCGGCCGCCCGTGCCGCCGCGCCGCGCCGTGTCACTGAACGTAAACTCTATACCCAGCACACGCTTCTGACGACCCACACGTTGCGGGTAGTCAGCCATATCATATTCTTCATCGCTTTCGTCATCCTCTCCACCCTCCTTCTTCTTCTCGAGCATAACGAGGTTTTTCCATTGGCTGAGGTCCTCGCCTTCACCTGCCTTTCTCAAATTGTACTGCGGAGCCGTACGCTGAGCGTTGCGCAAAGCCTTGTACTCGTCCAACGTGAGCACGCGAGGCTCCTCTTCGGCGGGCACTGTACGCTCCGCATCGGGCTGTTGCCCATCGCCGGCGGCTGCAACATCCGGAACCTTCTCGTCACCAGTTTCACCTTCTGAACCCGTCTTTTGGAAATCGTCCAAGTCATCTTTGATGGTACCCCAGTTGTGAGAGCCTCCTCCTTCACGCTTCTCGACGGGCTTCACACCAGTCTTATCAGAACCGGATCTTCTGTCGAACTCACGCTTGCCTCTACTATAATACGCAGGTCTTGGTCCGCGTTGTCCCTCACGTGGCTCACGCGGTTCACGCTGTGGCCGAGGTCCACGGCGTTCACCACCTTCAATATTGTCGTTGAAGTTGTTACGGCGCTCAAAATTAGGCCGACGATCACTAAACTCCCGACGAGGTGGCCGTGGTGCACCATCCTTGCTTTCAACGGCTCCGTTCTGCGGCCGATCCTCGCGACGCCTTGGAGGCGGACGCTCAGTATTGCGCTCACCAGTCCGTGGGGGTCCTTTGCTCTTTTGTTGATCGCCGCTCTTATTTTCTTGAGCTTTCACATTTTGGGTTTCCTTGATTCCCTTACGGGCGACGACACTAGCACCCTTGGGTTTGGTCTCAGGTTTCCCTTTGTTCTCTTTTTCAGCTTCTTTGGTCTTCTTTTTAAGCTCTTTTGCTTGCTCTCGCGCTTTTAACGTATCAAGAGGATCGGACTCGTCGTCCAAAAAAAGAGCGTATCTGTTATCGATCCCCACACCGTAGGAATTCTCCATTGTGATCCCCTGGATGATTTAATCACACAAAAACTGGATGTTGATGGATATCTTTTCGCACTTTAGTAAGTCGACATTTTGTTTTATTTTATTAATTTCATTTAATATGGCGGACAAACGAACACACTAAACGCCATATGACGATAGGAATAGATAAAAGAATGAAAATGGCGGAGCTCTTTAGTTTACCATATTTTTTATTTTATAACTGGCTTTTCGGCTATGGGTTCTAGCCCTTCCGAGTTTATTTCACCAAAGAGAATAGTCTCACAGACTATAATGATGAGTGGTTACTGATTAGGTAACTCATGTTTTGTGTTCCAAAAATAACAATTTTATTTATGACAAATTATTCTCAAATAAGATAAACTTACTGACTTACAACTGAGTTTGAGAAGTAACTGACAATCACTTATCGTGGAAGACGAAGACGTTTGTTGCGTAATGCCGGGATGTTCCTAGGAGTGGGCAGTAAGAGCTCAAATCGTATATCTTTTGCACCTGTTCCAGTTCCATTTACATAACAGTTCCAAAAATCTGTTACAAAATAGCAGTCTGTTATTACAGTCTTGGTAGGTACTTCTCTTTCTGACTAAGGTGTTGGAACCTATGCGAGAAAAGGACAGAGCTTGTGACAACTGTAACTGGGTGTCATAGTGTAACAGTAAATTTTTTTATCTTGTTCTAATAAAGGTAACTGTGATATGTATGAATAAAGAAAAACTTGTGACTGTTGTATAATGAATTTCGTTATCTCACGCACAGATGCTGTTCTTTCGAGCTTTTCAGTTTGTCACAATGACAGGCTGCTATTTTAAGATACTTCAATAAGGTTCTCTTTCTAACTAAGGTGTTGAACTTATGCGAGAAAAGGAAAGAGCTTATGACGAGTAACAGGGTGTCACAGTAACACGTAACTGTCATATGTATTAATATAGGAAAAACTTGTGACTGTCTTTTAGTGAATTTGTTATCTCATGTAACAGGAGCTGTTCTTTCAGTTTGTTTGTCACAGTTACAGTCTGCATTTTTAAGATACCTGTTTTTTTTACCTGTTACGATAAATACGCCTCACTCCTAGGCGTTCGACTTATTATTAGTGTGAATTTTGCGGGACCCCTTGTACGTACAAGATTTATTTGGGTGTTTCACTGGGTTATGTAGTACTTCTTATTAGTTTGGTTTTATATTTGGAGGGTAAAGGTAAGGACTATATTTGTGTATGAAAAAGTGTCCGTTGAAATGCTTTAAATTAGGGTCACTACAATAACAGAAGGGTAAATTTTAAAAACAGAAAAATTAATTTGGACTATTTTAAAAAGTTTTATAACTTTTCACACCAAAAATTACTAAACGTATTTGAAGTTCACAAAAATAAAATTACTCTGCACGTTTTCTCACAACAGTTATTTTAGGTTATATTTAAAAATAATTTTGGACTACGTGAATAGTTGAAGTTTTGTATACTGTACTGTAACTAACTACTCTAATCACCAAAAATATATATTTTTTATCTCGGCACACTTCAATCCATCTACAACTGCTACATTCATACCATACCATGTATCTACGCTAGCGTCATTTTGAAAAGTTTTTGAACTGTTAATACTGCTTACAGCTCGACATATTTTCATCTTGTCCGCCATACGAGATAGTTCTCCTTACCTCTACCCTCCATAGTTGTATAGCAAGATTCATTTCTCCTTTTTTTATACGTCCATGACATCTCCCTTACCCCAGCCTATGAATTTGGAGTATATATATAAAATAATACTGACAGACGTATTTCAAATAGCACATATCCAAAATATTAATTATTTAAACTGCGCCCATGTTCAGAAATAAAAAAAAGTTAAAGGTCGCTTACCTTTTAACGTAGATATTACTTCAAATAATTAGAATTAGGTACTTTTTGCAATATAAAAAAACTGCACCTTGCTTGAATACAACTGCACCATCGTTAAAATGCATAAAATGCAATGATAAGCACAAAAAGGTAATAAAACCAATTTTTTTAAGTGTCGATTGTACCATTATTCTATTATATCATTTTGCACAATCCTGACGCACCTCTCTAGCTTCTTTCACATCTATACATCTATACAACACATACTTGGTTGGTGGTTAAGGGTACTCTTAACTTGGTAAATCTTTCATACATCCCAAATTTGGTCAATAAACTTGCGTCGAGGGCGTTCCTTGCAAACTCTGCCACTCACTTCTGCAGCATAAATTTGCTCTGTCACTCTTTCCTCATTCATTGTTTCTACGTGTTCAAATACACCATAGCATTCCTTTTTTTAATCATGATCACAACATCTTGTAAACGACACTGTTCTCTTGTAAGACAATTTCTTACCCACATTTCTGCAGCATACATTTTACACTTATACTTCTTCTGTAACATCCAACAATTACTACCATACTTGTAAAGACTAACACAGCATTGTGTATGTTATACGTTCCTTTTTTTGACATATTATTCTAAGGCAAAAAACCTTAGCTTGTGCTGACGTTGTAACTGACGTACATGGCAGCATACTCTCTCCTATATCTTTTTCAATTTTCATCAAATTCATTACTCGTACCTCCAATATTAACTGCTCGTAACATCTCAATTTAGTACAATCTATATAAATAAAATGATAGAGGTTTGCAGTTGTGCGCGCATCTCGGAAAAAGTCAACGCGGACGACGTCACTAGTATCAGCTAGTTGATAATAAGAGTCTTCGTAAAGCGATACAAAAAGTAAATAAGAATCTAAATATTATAAAAGACTTGTCTTCGTGTCATTAAGTTACTGTGTTCCTTAAAATACTAAGCAATCTTGGTTGGTAGTTCGAGGAAGCTGGCTAAAATTGACATCGTCAATTTACGTCCCCTTTTCTATAATAATATATTAATATCGTACAATAACGTAGTCAATAACCTAGGTTTGCTCATAAACAACACTCAAAATTGGCCGTAAAGTCACTTTCTCAAATTCTCCCTTTGAAATCTAAGTCAACGCTGGTGCAAACGCTTGTATTACCCATTACCGATTATGCGCACGTGTGCTATCCAGACCGCCTTCTTAATAACTGTATATCATTTTTAGTTTTTGAAAATATAATTATTGGAACGAAGTTCCTTATCGGACGATACGGGTTTGGCGGATAGGAGCTAGGCGAGTAAAAGTGTAAGATTTTTTCGTCACTAGCCCTTTGTGTCATAGTGTATTTTATATTAAATGACGCTTCATTTTATAGACGCTTGTAATTCATTTATTTGTATTTGTTAATCAATAATATAATACGTATATCAATAATAATATACTACGAAATGAACTTCGTTCCCACAGAGTGTTCCACGACACTCACGCATGTTTTTTATTTCCCAATATCGTTTACAGCTGATGTCGCTTACTAATCGTTAAATGCGTCAATTCAAAATTCTACTTGTTCTTTTCTTAATTCTCAAGATGGAATCAGGGGCTGTTCGCCACAAGTATATTGTAAATTCCATAACAAATTTCTTAATTATTGTTATCATAAGGCGTTAATTCGTTAAATGATTAAACAGTGGTAGAGCCAAGCGGTAGCTTTTGCTGTCGCACGGATGGGCCAGCTCGAACCGGGGTGGTACCACGACCTCACAGAATACCAGCGTGAAGTAGAGGTTTACCTCTGCGTTGCGTTTGGTGAGTGCAGGTGGCCGGAGGCCCAATTCCCCCCCCCCCCCCCCCCATCAACATGGTAGTGGAATTAAATACAAGACTACCCCAGGAGGGTACCAGCAACCCTGGAGAATCCCTCGCTGAGCATCCACGAACAAACTACTTCACTCCTGAGCGTGGGTGCTCAGGCTGCCCCGCGTATTCTGGGGGGGGCAAAATTCCGCTCGTGACTAATGCTGCTCGGGGCAAGCGGAGCAATACAACCAAGGCGACCCCTGTCACGCTATCCGTGAATTTTTGCAACATCAGGGGACTTCATTCCAACCTTAACGCTGTCCATTACCATCTAGAGACGGCGAAGCCGGCCTTGCTCTTTTTAACCGAGACTCAGGTGTCCTCTCCGGCTGATACTTCATATCTCTCCTACCCGGGGTACAAATTGGAACACTCCTTTGTGCCCCGGGCTGGAGTTTGTGTATACGTCAGAGAGGACATCTGTTTTCGACGCCTCGGCAGCCTTGAAGGTACGGACCTGTCCATCCTATGGCTGCGCGTAGACAGCGACGACCATCCCCGCGTCTACGGGTGCCTCTATAGGTCCCATAGCGGTAATGCCGACACAGACCGACTCATCGACCACGTCCAAATGGCTGCAGACTCCGTGCTACAACAGGTCCCATCCGCAGAGATCGTGATACTCGGTGATTTCAACGCCCACCACGCTGAATGGCTTGGTTCTCGTTCAACCGATCATGCGGGTAGATCTGTCTACGACTTTGCTTTGGCATATGGTCTAACACAACTGGTTACTTCGCCTACGCGGATCCCAGATGTGGAAGACCATGTACCTTCCCTGTTGGACCTTCTGCTGACCTCTCATCCGGACGGATATCAGGTCTCCGTCGATGCCCCTCTGGGCTCTTCGGACCATTGTCTGATCCGGAGCACAGTGCCACTCACGCTCCAATCGCAGTTGCGATCTACAGCTTGCCGCCGTGTTTGGCACTATAGGTCAGCTGATTGGGACGGGATGCGGTCTTTTTTTGCATCCTACCCTTGGGGGCGGGTTTGCTTCTCGCCGGAAGATCCCAGCGTTGTTGCCGATTCTGTTGCTGATGTGGTACTTCAGGGTATGGAACTTTTTATTCCATCCTCTGTGGTGCCCATCGGAGGCAGATCCCAGCCATGGTTTGGTCGCTCCTGTAAAATAGCATCACGCTATAAGCAGGAGTGCTACCGGGCCTGGGCTGACGCATCAACGTCTCGGGATTTAAACACCAGCGCACTTAAAAAGAAGTATAATTCCGCCTCCAGGTCCTTCAAAAGCGTCATTGCCAAGGCAAGGTCTGAGCACATCGGCAGAATTGGCGAGAAGCTGGTTCGCCTTCCTTCGGGAACCCGTGCATTCTGGTCTCTCGCCAAGGCTGTCCAAGGGAACTTCTGTCAGCCATCCCTCCCATCTCTGCACAGAGAGGACGACTCACTGGCCCATGCCGCAAAAGAGAAAGCCGATCTGTTGTGCTCTCTTTTTGCGTCCAACTCGACTCTAGATGACGGGGGGAACACACCGCCGACCATCCCGCGATGTGAGTGCTCCATGCCGGATGTGCGATTTACACAGCGCTCGGTTCGCAAAGCACTCTTCTCCCTGGACGTCAGCAAGTCGAGTGGGCCCGATGGAGTCCCTCCCATTGTGCTGAAGACGTGTGCTCCGGAGTTGGCACCGGTTTTAACGCGTCTTTTCCGGTACTCCTACTCCCAAGGCGTAGTCCCGAATTCATGGAAGACAGCTTTGGTCCACCCGATCCCTAAAAAAGGCGACCGCTCAGACCCGTCCAACTACAGGCCTATCGCCATCACCTCCTTGTTCTCCAAAATAATGGAATCCATTATAAACTGCCAGCTCATGAGGTACCTTGAGGATCACCAGCTGATCAGTGACCGTCAGTACGGTTTTCGTCGGGGTCGATCAGCAGGTGATCTTTTAGTGTACTTAACTCATAGATGGGCGGAGGCAGTAGAGTCCAAGGGGGAGGCATTGGCCGTTAGTTTGGACATAGCGAAGGCCTTCGATCGGGTCTGGCACAAGGCGCTTCTTTCGAAGCTTCCTTCCTATGGGCTTCCCGAGAAATTGTGCAAATGGATCACCAGTTTCCTTGCTGATCGGAGCATCAAGGTCGTAGTAGACGGTGCTTGCTCTGATTACAAGCCTATCAACGCTGGTGTTCCACAAGGCTGCGTGCTATCACCAACGCTGTTTCTCCTGCATATCAATGATATGTTGCTAACTGGTAGCATTCATTGCTATGCAGACGACAGCACTGGGGATGCCTTATATACCGGCCGTGCCAATATTTCTCGGGAAAACGTCGCCGAGTACCGGGACAAACTTGTGTCTGAAGTCGAGTCTTTGCTTAACAAAGTCTCGGATTGGGGCCGACTAAATCTAGTCCAGTTCAATCCCCAGAAGACACAAGTTTGCGCGTTTACCGCTAAAAAGAACCCCTTTGTCGTATCTCCTCAGTTTCAAGGCACTCCCCTTGCTGCCTCAGCCAGTATCGGAATCCTTGGCGTCGACATATCGAATAGCGTGCAGTTTCGTGGTCACTTGGAAGGGAAGGCCAAATTGGCCTCTAAAAAGCTTGGCGTGCTCAGCAGAGCGAGACAGTATTTCATGCCGGCACATCGCTTGCAACTTTACAAAGCGCAAGTTCGGCCCCACATGGAATACTGTTCTCATCTCTGGGCCGGGGCACCCCAGTGCCAGCTCCTTCCACTTGACCGCATCCAGCGCAGAGCGATTCGAATCGTCGACGACCGAGTTCTTTCCGATCGGCTCGATACACTGGCACTGCGCAGAGATGTTGCATCTCTTTGCGTATTTTATCGCATCTATCACGGGGAGTGCTCTGAGGAATTGTTCGGACTAATTCCAGCCGCTCAATTTCACCATCGCACGTCGCGACAAAACTCGCGTTACCATCCATACCATCTGGATGATTGGCGGTCCACCACTGTGCGATTTAGAAGAAGTTTTCTCCCTCGCACAACTTCTTTGTGGAATCAATTACCACCAGCGAATTTTCCGAACCGATACGACTTAGGAACCTTCAAGAAAAGAGCTTACACCTTTCTAAAAGGCCGGCAACGCATCTGCAATTCCCCTGGTGTTGCGGTTGTTCATGGGCGGCGGTAGTCACTTAACATCAGGTGAGCCGCATGCTCGTTTGCCCCCTATTCTATAAAAAAAAAAAAAAAAAAAAAGTTAATGCTGTAATTTCATTGTTATATTATTTGAAAACACGCTTGTAAGCAAAACTCTAATTCAAATATTTACATACAAAGCATATTAGATAGAATTACTCGGAAAAAAACCTCTGTCCCGGGAAGAACCAGCAATAAACCCAACGTGACTATTTTTCTTTTTAATAAAATACTCATTCCCTGATTGAACTGAATATTAAACTTTTTGATTCATATGCCTTGCATATTATTTAGGACTTTGTTTTGCCTTGAAAAGCCCATGAACTGACTCTTTGGAGTCGAGTAAGTGATACTACTACCTCGTGCTTTTTCCTAGTATTACACAATGAACATCACTATTTTTAATAAAACTATTTTTGTTATGGCAAATTTTTGGTTTCGGGCGCTCTTTGGTTTGGGCACCTGGACCTCACTACTACTTTGATGAACTATTGTCATTGTTGTATAGGATCCACTTCTCATCGCAGGTAACAATTTGACTCGAAATTCCCTCCTTTCTATGCCGATTCAGCAATATGATGCAGTAATATTATGAGGTGCTCAAATGGGCACAATCAAGCTTCTCTATTTAACCGATTTGCCGCAAATGATTTCGTATGGTTTTGACATTTACATCGAAAGAAGTCGCCGTCGAAGTGGCTCAGCCGTAGTTTAAGCTGGATTCGGACGTTATTAGCAAAATTCCCTCCGGGAGGCCACGACGTTCATTTGTGAGACCAATATCTCCCAAATGTTATCTATCTATTAAGACAGTAACGCATATTTCGATTGTTAGTAGTGCTAGATACATATTATCATTACAGCCTATCAAAAGTTCACTGCTAAACATAGGCCTCCCCCAAAGATTGCCTCATAGGAGAGATATTTGCCTTAGTTGCCACGCTTGGCAGGCGAGTTAATCAGCTGTTAACGCGTCGTGTCGGGTCTTACGACTCCGACGAGATAATATGGAGTAGTGGATATGGATATCTTTACACTGCCACTACACGGTTATCCGTATACGTCACTCGTATTGCGTGCCGTCAGGTCGGAACTCATATTATTCAAAAATAACACTAATAGTCCTTAGATGTTAACAAGATTTCTATATATTTATAAAGATATATGAATAAAATGATTACGAAAAAGGAATAATAAGTATACCTTTATTATAAAATTTGTTGAATTTAGAATTACAAGTCAAACCATATAAACAAAATGGAAATTTTCTACGTATACGTCTATGTGGCTGGAATGAAAAACACGTCCCTACTTAATTAATGAATACATGTTATATCGCTCAGATTAGACTATAAAGTTTTATACGTGGTAGAGCCATGCTGCAGCGATATTAGTTGTATAGTTGTAGCACGAATGGGTCTACACGATCGGGGAAGGACCACGCTCTTACAGAATACCAGCGTAAAATAGCAGCTTAATGCTGCTGTGTTTTGTATGGTGAGTGTAGAGAACCGGAGACCCTTTTTACTGGTAACGAGGCATTCCATCTTGGTCTTCACGGGTGACAACGCATCTGCATCTTGATTCGTAATCGAGGATAGATGTCTACCCTCGATGTCTAACCACTAACCATCAGGTGGACTGTGTGTTCGCTTGTCACCTTTATTCTATAAAAAAAACGCTTAATGTCTATCTATACACTGTGAAAGCGACATAGTTATTGCAATACACCTTGAGCCGAATAATCAGAATAACATTGAAGTTTCATCCATATCAACTGCAGATTAAATTTCAACCTGAACTAGTTACATTATCTGCTAAACAGACACGCTTCCACTAATTATTGTTGTCATTCATAAGCCTTTACTTTCTATTTTCCTTTTTCAATTAATACAAAATAGTCATTCACGCTCGTAACCTACTAGTTTAGAATTTTGTTTTTACAATATCAGTAGCAGGTTTTGGGATAGGACTTTGTATTCAATTTTTCAATAATTTGTTTTTTGTGTTTTGATATTTTTGTAATTAAAATGAGGTTAGTAAAATTTATTTTTAATAGAGATTTGATATGTAAAAACATGGTGAAGATGCAAAATACATTTTTGCGTAATTTAAGGCATTTTACTTCTGGAGTATCACATATCAAAACTCCCATAGATTCTTATTATAATCATTATATTAATTTACCACTGCCAAATAATAAGGTATTAGCTACTTATGTTTGGATAGATGGGAGTGGTATTAATTTACGATCTAAAGATCGTATTTTGGACAAAGTTCCTTGTGACTTAAGTATGGTGCCGAAATGGTCATTTGACGGAAGCTCAACTGGTCAAGCAAAAACTAATGATTCTGACACATTATTAATACCATCTGCTATGTACAAAGATCCTTTCCGCAAGAGTCCACACATACTTGTTCTTTGTGAGACATATTATGGCGACGGATCTCCTACTCCAACAAACTTTAGAGCGCAATGTGCTAAAGCTCTAAGTAAAATCTCTGATCAAGAGCCATGGTTTGGAATTGAACAGGAATATACAATATTTGATAATGACATGTGGCCTCTAGGATGGCCGAAAAATAGAGGTTTTCCTGCTTTGAAATCATTATTTTCGTATTGTGGAAATGGAGAACATGTAGCTGGAAGAGAAATCGTTGAATGCCATGCCAGAGCATGCATATTCTCTGGAATGGACTATGGAGGTTCTAACGCGGAAGTAATGAAAGGTTCGTGGGAATATCAAGTTGGTCCAAGCTTAGGTATTAAAGCAGCCGACGATATCTGGATGGGCCGATATATGCTTAATAGAATAGCAGAACATTTTGGATCGATTATAAGTTATCATCCAAAGCCAATGGGCAAGGATCAACCGGGAATAGGATGTCATCACAACTTTAGCACAAATAAAATGCGAGATAAAGAAGGAATTACTGAAATAAAGAAAATATGTGAAATAATGTGTGACCAACATGATAAGCTTATTAAAAACTATGGTCTTGGTGATAGCGAAGAGAACAAAAAACGATTAACAGGAAAATTTGAAACAGCGTCATATGATAAGTGTAGGTGGGGTGTATCGGATCGTGGAGCGTCAATAAGACTACAAAAGATGGTATTAGTAAAGGGTAAAGGCTTTTTAGAGGATCGAAGGCCAGCTGGAGACTGTGATCCTTATAGAGTATGTGCCTTACTGGCAGAAACGTGCATGTAGTACAAAATATGTTTTAACTGATTGTGATTGATTTTTGTGGAGTAAAGAGTTTTAATTTTAAAATGTCATTCAATTATAATTAAAAACAATTTATTCCATTATTAATACTTCTTATGTCTAATTATTGTGTCCAGTATAAAATTTTCGTAAATTTACACTAAAATAAATTACAATTAGGTGATATTAATAATTACTCAGATACTTATAAATAATTTAATTGTTTAATATTACGGAATATAATTAAAGGTAAATCTACTGAAACTATGTTTTGCCTAAAAAGACTAAGTATTATTTTAAACCACACATGCGTCTACATTATGCCTAAACGAAATATGTTGAAGTGTTCTATTAACCACATATTGAGTAAAAAAGTAATGGACAGATATATGAAACTACCTATGCCCTGTAACAAGGTTCTTGCGACTTATGTATGGATTGACGGATCCGGAATCAATTTAAGAAACAAGGACAAAATATTAACTTGCACTCCATATACCCCAGATTCAGCACCAAACTGGGCATTTGATGGCAGTTCCACAGGACAAGCTACGACTGATAACTCTGATACCGTTCTTAAGCCGTGTGCCGTATATAGAGACCCTTTTAGGATGGAGCCACATGTTTTAGTATTATGCGAGGTTTATGCAGGTGATGGTAAGCCAGTAGCTACGAATAATAGAAAATTTTGTAACGACTTATGTGAATTTCACAAAGCCGAAGAACCTTGGTTTGGTTTAGAGCAAGAGTATACTATGCTTGATGTTGATGGTTGGGGATTAGGCTGGCCGAAAGGTGGTGGATTTCCTGCTGTAAAGTATGAGTTTTCATATTGTGGAGTGGGAGCAAAATACGTGGCAGGTCGCGACATTGTAGAAAGTCATACTAAAGCTTGTCTTTATGCTGGTTGTGATTTTGAGGGTACTAATGCTGAAGTTATGTTTTCTTCTTGGGAATGGCAGATTGGTACCACAATTGGTATTAAGGCTCCAGATGATTTATGGATATCACGTTATATAATGTCTCGAGTCGCTGAAGATTACGGCGTCGATATAACTTATCATCCGAAACCCATGGGTCCTAAACATCCTGGTATAGGTATGCATCATAATATTAGCACAAAAAAAATGCGCTCTGATGGTGGTTACAAATTTATTGAGGAATGCATTAAAAAACTAGAAACTAATCATATGAAACATATGAAGCATTACAGTAATGATGAGTTAGGAAACCGAATGCGACTCTCAGGAAAATTTGAAACCGCTCCGTTTGACAAATTTTCTTGGGGCATCGCCAATAGAAAAGCATCTATACGTATTCAAAGAAGTGTTAAAGAAAAGGGTAAAGGCTTCCTTGAAGACAGAAGGCCCGGAGGAGATTGTGATCCCTACTTGGTTTGTGGATTATTACTAGAAACCTGTTTAGGACCAGCTGGTGGTAGCTCTGGTTCATCTTGCCCACCACAACCAAAAAAGTGTAAATAGATAAGATTGCTTGGTACGACCCTTACGTTTTTTGTGTAAATGTTTTGTCTATACCTTTCGAACGTTTAAAACATATTTTATCATGTGAAATAAAGTCCATTTTGATATGCTATTTTTATTGTACCTAATCTGATTGATTACTCATGCAAAGCTGTAATAATGAGATTTAGTCATGTTGGAATTATTTATTTTATAATACACCGACACGCCAATATTTTTTTTCTATCGCTAAATTGATTTTAAGACCAAGGGCGTCCGCTGCTGCCTTATGTGGGTTCCCACTGATTCCCACGCTGTGATCCCGCATCATTAGTACATGCAGCGGTCTCCATCGCTTGCGACCATCGCATCCTCCGGGGGATCCCCGATTAACGCAGCATAAAATATTTAGTAAGGATATCCACACAAGAACTAGAGTACCTAACTGACATGGGCCAGTGGATTCTTGGACAAATTATCTTAATGCACACAGCCTTTTATTTTTAGCGTTAAAGTTTTTGGTTAGTGTGCAGTTGTAGATATACTAATGTATCGCTAATGTGTGTGCTACTAGAGAAATGACTATGTTATCTATATTACCTACCGATTGAATAATGCTGAAATTAATAAAACGCGTTTTAGTCAGTAATCAACTATTTATTAATATATTTTTATGTAGACAAATATAATTATAAAATGCAAACACAAAACAATCTAAACATAAAATAGTAGGTAAAGACTAATTTAACCTCTCAGTTGTTGTTGTTGTTTTTATTATTCGCTCGAGAGAGCAGGCAAAGGAACTAAGCCTCATTCATTAATAACATACATTCATATTTTGAAAAACCGTAAAGGCAAAAGCCAAGTCTTCTTTATATTATAATCTTTGTAAGTTACAATCTATGTAGATTTGTCAATCCAATATTTTCAAAAACAGGGATACCATATTTCATATTTCTTTTACAGTATTATGAATAAAATTGCAAAGTGCTAAATATGTCTTAGTATTCCTAAGAACATCTTGCAGGGCACCAGTAACGCTTTTTGAGTTTTCATAAACTTGTATAAGTTTTTCAATGAGTAGCAATCTTTCTATGGCGTACGCTGGGCAGTTAAATATTATATGTTCTGCAGTCTGATCTGCTTCTGTATCGCAGAAGTTGCATGTTGCAGATGCTACTATTCTCATCCTGGAAAGATGAGGGTTCAGTCGATAGTGGCCAAATCTAAGTCTGCACATTATTGTATAAAATTTTCTGCTATGATATCTTCGCATATCGTTGTGAGAAAACCAAGGAATACTTAATTCTGAATTAATTGATGCATACCAACGACCTTTTCCTGCCTCTAAAACAGCATTCCATTGCATTTTCCTTTCTTCTTTTAACTGTTGCTTTAAAATTGAATATAAATCTGTATGTGGTATTGCAACACCGGTTATCCTGTCAATATCAGCTGTAACTATACTTTTAGCTAAATGGTCTGCGTTTTCATTTCCTTGAACACCAATATGTGACGGAGTCCATAAAAATTTTACTTCCAAATTATTTTCTTTCAATTTCCACCACAAACCTTTGATTTCATATATGACGAAAGACGTTTTAGCATGTAAAGTTCTTGCCTTTAGCGCCTTCAAGACACTCATGCTATCAGAGATCAGTAACCATTTATTAGATACATGTGGTTGTTCTTCTATATATTTAAGAGCGATTAAGACAGCATAACATTCTGCAGTGTATATTATGCTTGCTGATGCAGGAATGGAAAGGCCACGTCCAGTTTTCAGATGAGGTATGTAAAATGCACAGGCTACTTTATTTTCAACTTTTGAACCATCTGTGTAAATTTTTCGATATTCATCATATTATGTAGATATAAGTTCATAAACCTCTTCTTTTCTTTTCAATTTTTCATCAATATTTATGTGTATATCACTGAATTTTCTTTCATAATTCCCCTTATAACAAGGCCAAGTATGTATGCTTTTCTGAATATTATATTGTTCATCATATCGTATCACTACATGAAAGTCATGGAGTATATATGGGGCTGAGTTAGATATAGTAAAATAATACTTTTTGAAAAAGAGGATGATGAGACAAAGAATTAATATTTAATACTAGCTGTGCCCGCGGCGTAGCTCGCGAATATAGGTTTTACTTAAAGAATTTGACGTTTAGGGTAAGAGAATATTAACCGATTTATATCATTACTCTATGAATAAGTGGTAACAAAATAAATCGATATTCTCAAAGTTCTAAGTCGTTTATGATAGAGCTTCTGTGTAAACGACGATAGAAGTAGACTTAGCCAGGGCGTACAGAAAAAGGTTACGGGGACTACTAACGCGAGAAAAAGCAATATAGAGCTGGCCATGTGCAAAACAATCAGTACTGACGCGTAAAGTTTGACCTGGCGCTTTATTTACGATCGTCGCATAACACACGCTGAGTGGGAAACACACTTAAAATAGGGATGTTAGATGATCATCGATGTTAAAAATTAAAACTTCGATGCTTTAACATCGATGTTGACATATGTCAAGCATCGAAACATCGACGTCAATGAACCCATAATCGATAATTGGGAACTTGCAAACAATGCGAACTCGCGAAATCAATATCAACTAAATCTTGCATCTGCTCTGAAGATTAAAAATTTTGAATAATTCAGAATTTCTGAACGCATCGTTAATCTAAAAAAATGTCAGTATGGTGAGTCAAACTTAATTGTCGAGTGTCTCCTGTAATGTCACAATGGTCACTGCTTTCGCTTTATTTTGTAGTGTCGTTGTCGGTTGTCGCATAATAACTATTCTACGTAAATTGATATTCAAGTTAATTGTTACTTTTCCCTTGCTGTGTATACCCACATAATTTTAAAACAATGTGTAACTATCTACACATATACAAAAACCATCGACAATGGTCAACATCGATGTTTTGAGTGGCCTAAACATCGAACATCGATGTTGAGCTAGCGATGCCAACATCGATGTTATTATCCCTATCTTAAAACTGAAGCCTGAGCCGTGGTAGCTCAGATGGTTAGCGCTCGCTGTAAGCTTCACAGTACTCGAGCAACCCGGGTTCGATCCCCGCCGGCACCAATGAAATTGTCAATTGCAATTTTAAGTGCTGATTTACCACGTGCTCGGCGGTGAAGGAAAAAATCGTGAGGAAACCTGCATGTTTGAGAAATAAAAAATAATATTTCGATGACATGTGAAGTTCGCCAACACGTATTGGGGCAGCGCGGTGGACATTTCCTTGCCCTAAAACCCTCTCAGAAATGAGAGGAGCCTTTTGTCCCCAACAGTGGGACGTAAATAGGCTGCAACTTTACTTTACTTAAAACTGAAAAAAAAGTTATTTGGTATTAGAGTGATTCTGGCTATAAAACAATATCACCATCACGACATTTATTGCAATTTTGCTACTTTTAGTTTTAGTCGAGTTTTGTTGAATAATTAAATATTTCAATACCTCTGTATATATACCTTACAGGCTTGCAGCTTCGTCGGGCTCATGGACATAAATT